TTAGTTATTTACTAATGTGTTTTTCTGTATTACTTGCCTTTTTTAGTCATCCACTGTACAGCACTTTAGTCAGTTTATACTGTGTTTAAATGTGCTTTATAAATTAAATTTACTTACTTTACTTACTGTAAAAACTAAACTGAAACCAGCAAACTAACTGAAACTAAGCTGGATTGAAAGCAAGAATTAAAAAAGCAAATGAAAAATACAAAACTATAACAACTCTGGTCTGAAATGCTCTCATCAACCCTTTTTGTTTGGGCTATGTATTTTCCCTCAGGTTACTGTGCAGGAGCTGTGTAATTTAATGTGATTAGTTGTTGTTTAATTTTCTGGAAGAAGGTGGATCACAGTGACTCACTCACCAGAACTTTGCCAATCCTTTTATAACATTATATCTAACTGTGATTGGTGCATGTGGCATGTAGGAGTAAAGCACTTTGAGTTGTCGGAAGAAGGCGCTATATAAATACAGTCCATTTACCATTTAAAGCCCTACCGGGTCGCCTACTTGAGTGAGTTCTATTATATTATATCTAAATATGAGTAATGTTGTCTCTCACCAGGCTTCATTGGAAAGATTACCCTCCAGATCCCTTTCTACAGGCCTCACAGTGACCCATGGGTCATCTCTATGTCCCAGCTTAATCTAATCATCGGCCCTGCCCAGCTGCAGGAGTATGATGCAGAGAAGGAGAGAGAGGAGGAGAGAGAGCGCAAACAGCGCCTCCTCAAGGCTCTCGAAGACAAATTCAAAGTAGGTGCATCAACACTACAGATTAGTACATGTACTTTTTGTTTGTCCCACTGATATTAAGGATCAAAACATAACACAGTCCTTTAGATTTCTGGTCTCTAAGAAACATTACAACATTACTAGAGTCACTACAGACTTGTAATGATGTGTAACATTTTTTCTGATGCATATTACTTTATATTACCAACACAATTGAGGTTATGTATCTGAATTATTTTCTGGTGTTCTCACAATGATTTCAAATTTGAGGCAAAGAGAGCATTGTATCAGATTGATTCTCGTAGTGTCAGAAATGATCAGATCCAAAAAAACAATCCAAAACGGACTGCTTTATCTTACTTAACCTACTCTGCGTTGCCCTTTTCATGCATTATATTGTGTCTAAAATATTCTTCTCTATTAACTTGCACTTTTATCATTACAGTTCTTTGTTGTTGTTGACAGTGTGTGCATGTGTGTGGATCAGTGTTGGGGTTGTTACTGAAACAAGTAATGCATTACTGAATTACTTCTTTAATTACACTGCCTGTTACTAGGGATCGATTATCGGTCTGGTTTGTCAGGTCTGGTGTTCTGCATTTTTCCAATTATTGGTATGGTATTTTTTTTTTTTCAATCCAATTGCAGATTAAATAAATGTGTTTTAATATACAGGCTCTATGCAGCCACCTCTCTGTAGTCACCACTGTAGTCTCAATGTCCCACCCACAGCACTGTCTGATTAGTTACACATCACAAGTAAGTAAGTAATACATTGTTCAAGATGAAGTGCAGCATTTAATTAAAGATAATTACTCAGATATTTTAGTTTTAAAAGTAGCAAAAGTATTGCCATCAAAATATTATTTTTGGGGCTGCAAAAATTAATATTGCGATTGTTTTGACAGGATTTACAATTAAGATTTGATGCACAATTAGTGGGAATGATGACTTTTGCATTACAGTTTTGATTTTCACTGAAAAAACTAAATCGTGATGATTTCACATTTGTTGGGGTCTGTACCAAACAAACGTGTTTTCTTCAAGAACAAGATTTGTAGGCCAGGACATATCTGTTGTACTGGATTATTTTAATTGTTCAGTACTAATTAGTTCATTTATATTATATATATATTATATTTATAATGTGAGTCTGCAAAGTAACTAAATATATCAAATAAATGTAGTGCAGTAAAAAGTACAATATTTGCTTACAAAATGGAGTGGAAGTATAAAGTAGCCTAAAGTGGAAATACTCAAGTAAAGTACAAGTGATAAATAAGCTGCACTAGTCAACTAGAAAGCCGTAGTTTAAGTGAGTGACTGTGTTTGCAGTAAAAATTTAAATCTGTGTAAAAATTTTGAATTACTAGTGGTTGAGTGGAACTAGGTACATTTACTGTACAAAAGTACAATTTTGTTTTACTAAAGCAGAGTTCTAGCTCATGAGGAGGAGTCTCTTGAACAACCTGTTCTTCCTCAGAGACAAGACTGCCCAGGCTGAAAAGACTCTCCACAGGTGCACTAGACACATCACTGTGTTGAATTTCCTGGATGTTGAAGGGAAACAACTTCAGTGTCAGAGTTGAAGGAAGCTGTATCCATCAGCATTGTTTCCCAAATGTGCATGAAAAGACATGTTTGATGTTTTTTCCATCTGCCCATTATTCCAATCATTTGACTACACAGATAATGACACAATTATTTTATTAGTAACTGTAATGATTACTAAATTAGGAACATAGATAGATAGATAGATAGATAGATACTTTATTTATCCCGAGGGAAGTTCAAGACATGCAAAAAAAACATGCATTACATTACTGCATTACAGACAAATGTAATGTGATTACTGTAATGTAATATATGATGGAATGTGTTTGGCTCTTCCAGAGTGAGTGTGAACAGAGAGGAGAGTCTTACTGGTACTCTGTCACTGCCTCAGTGGTCACCAGGATTGTGGAAAACATCGAGGTAAGGCATCCAACATTAGACACTAGAGTCGGGACTATATCATGCACAACAATGAGTTCTATGTATCAATTTAAACAGTACCTGCCTGCATTTTATATAGTGAGTTAGTAAATTGCCTATCCCATTTATATCAATGAGGGTAACAGAAACACCTCTTTGTATAATGCAATACAGTTCAACAGCCCCACAAACTACATCCTAAACAAGATTTAATCCACACAAACACTCTAATGAATGCCTAAAACATAAATAAATACCAGGACAGAATTAATATCAGAACAGTCAATTTCCAGGCTTCTGTCCTGACACTGGTTGCTGTACCGAAAGTGATCAGGTAGTTGTTATTTTTTGAATCTGAGTAACAGATTGAACTTTGATTTGCTTATGTGTAGCTGAAGATCCAAGATGTGCATCTCCGATTTGAGGATGACTTCTCCAACCCAGAGAAACCCTTTTCTTTTGGTGTTTGCATCAACAATGTTTCGGCTCAGAACCCTTTCAAAGAGTCGGTAAGTGTTCACTCAAAAGTGATTTTAAACTAATCAGTATCAGAATCGGAGTTGCTTTTATTGGCCAGATATGTGCCTTCATACAAGGAATTTGACTTTTACAGCGTACATAAATTTTTTTATATATTTATCTTTTTAAATAAATCGTAATGTGTCTGTATAATGTATAAGCCTAGCTTACAGAATCTCAATATACACTGCCCACTAGGGATGGGGATCGTTAAT